TCTAATTTATATTTTGCGAATTATTTTTTTTATATTTTTATTAAGTACGCCTCAATAAGATGTACACACGCTTCAAATTTCAAATCATTCCGATTAGTAAAAAAAAACAAAAATTAAAACACTACCGAACAATTGTGGCGGTACGATGAAATTTGGATAGTACTGAGAGTAAGCAAAATCGCTGTTCATTTTTACCTTTAGGCGATTTGTAGTATCTTCCTATATATATATATAAGAAAAAGATGGGATTAGCTCACTAACTCATATGAACATATGAGCCCAATGGTCCAGATTGAATCTGAACTGATCTGACGATCACAGATGTCCGGTAGTGCTTGAAATTTTTTTTTTTTTCTACAAACCACTTGAAGTTTTAAATGTGTGTTCTTTTCATCAATGCGTATCTAATGAAAATATAAAAAACACTATCCCAAATACCCCTCAAACATTTCAAAGGTATTTTGATCAATTTATTTCATATAAAATATTTTTTTGATATTTTTCGAAGATTCACTTATTTTTTATGAACACACGCCTAAAATTTCAAGTGATTTGAATTTGTAGAAAAAAAAAAACTAAAATTCAAACATTATCAGACATCTGTGATCATCAAATTGACCCAAATTCAATATGAGATATTGAGCTTATATGTTCATATAAGCTAATGGGCTAATCCTACTTTTTCTCTTATTTATATATATATCCGCTAATGGGTTAATCCTACTTTTTCTCTTATTTATATATATATCCCTCAAATTGAATAATGATATGCAAGAGGCCTCTCTCTCTCTTGAGTCACTCCTCGAAGTGGAAGAATAACATGCAAGAGGGCAGGCACTCTCTCTCCGGCATGTATCCCAAATAGAAATAGGAGCATACCGTGGGTTTCTCTGAGAAATGAAAAGGTCGACAGATTCGATGGAATATACAAATCCTCGAACAAATTGGCCATGAAATACACAAATCCTCGAACAAATTGCCCAGTCACCCCAGCCTGTCTATGATCTTTGCACTCAAATTGTACAAGTATTAGTAATTATTTCAATATTCTACTATATCTCTCAATACAACAGTCAACAATTTAAAAAAAAAAAAATCTACTATATCTCAGCCACGCAATAACTAATAAAATAAGAACGCCAATCCAGATTTCTTGACTCTAATGATTGGCAATCCACTCCTAAAACATAATGGATATAAATACAATGCTTCTTTCACGAGAAAATCCAGCCAACCTCTATAGCACCCACAGAGCCACCAAACCTCCTCATGGAGCAACCAAGCCAATCTCTCTCATACCAAGCAAGATGACATAACATTCCAACTGATTTTCATGTGGGAAGGCATTGGCGCAACAAACCTAAGAACATCTTGCTTGCTCTTACACTTCATCGGCTTATTAGCATCTTGCGATTTCTCGAAGTACTTCTCAATATTTGGGATCACTAACTCTCGACAATGGAGGTGTAACAAGGGGACTTTAGAGAGGACGCTCCCCTTTTGAACAGCCAAATTATGGTGTCGTCGCATCTTGTATGGCTTTCCAGTTTCAGGGTCAAAATCGGCTCTAGGCATCTGTTTCCAACACTTGTGAACATACCAACCATATTTGTAGTCTCCAACGATGGGAGTTCCAAGAGCTTCAGCACAGTGAACTCGGAGCTGCAATACAAAGAAAAAAGTAAAGTAAGAGAGAGGACAGAAGTGAGGGAGTCTAGAAAAAAGTAAGAGAGAGGAGAGAAGGGAGGGAGTCTAGAGAGAGACAGAGAAAGAGAGGGTGGGTCAAATAAAGAGTGAGCAATTAAATTAAATACAATGATCCAATTAATAGTAAAAAACAACAATTAATATAGGAAATAAGGCGCTGGCTAAGAAACAGAAAAATGATATTGCCACTAAATCAGTGAGAATGGAAGTTTATGATTTTTCGTTCAATAAGAAAATCTTTAGCATTTCTAGGAAAGAGTGGAGGGGGATTTCACTATCTTTACAATTCTGAGACTTTTGAAAATGCGGATGAAGTCCATGAAGAAATATAAAAGGCAAAACACAATGTACCTGATGCTTACGTCCAGTAAGTGGACACAGCTCAATCCATGAACATCCATTGATTGTAGGCCCCAATACTCGATATTCAGTAATTGCTTCTTGGGCTCCATCTAAGCTGGAATTATAGGCCAATATAAGCCGCTCAGTCTTCCCATCATTCAGAAGAACCTATAATTTATAAGAACTGATAAATCACAATGAAGTTTCAACCAAACCAGCCTCAACAAGAAGTAATTCTTTCAGGGGAACACCAATTACTCAACTAATTACCAGTCAATTATTAGAAATCACCACATAATGACCAATGATATTACATCTTTCACGAGGAAACAAAAAAGAAGAGAGATGAATTTGAAGGTCCATTTGCATACCTTTGAGAGGGGAGCTGAGATGAGACCTTGTTTTTCCTTTGGAGAACCAATGACCAAAGCCCAGTACTTCCTTATTGCTCCTTTACAACGATCACCCGTACTCTAAATCACACAAATTCATTTGCCGATTATTATTATGTAAGAGAAACTCAGATAAGGTTAAACTTCAGTAGCTTCCCCAATTTTTCATAGTGAAACCAAATGCTCATGGATTTTAGAATTTTATAAAAAGTGCAAGAAGTAATGTGCAATGCCGATTATCACTGAGGTTGTCTTTACATGTTTGTCTATGAGGTCCACCATTAAGAGAAAATGCAACATGACAAACCAATAAAACTTCATTTGTTTTAAAGGTTAGATAAAAGAACATTTATGCTTTTTAAGCCACACTTCTATTAAATTGAAAATCCATAAATTCCTCACATGATGGCTTTGCCATTTTCCCAACATTCAAATGTAACAAAAGATGCAACATCCAAATACGAATATAGTAAGAGGAGTCAAAACTCCAACAGCCCAACCAACCATGTGAGTTCAGATATGCATGAAAACAAAGGTCGCTGTATACTTTATTTAAGAAGCTCGCTATTTTTATTTGACAACACAAGATCAAGCATAACATAGAAAAGTTCCTGGAAATACAGGCTTATACAAGAACTCAACCTCACCCAATAACTAATTATAAAAATAAGTAGACAACTAAAGATTTACATCTCAAAGAGATCATCAATTTAAGAATTGGAAGGTGAGTTGTGTACCTCAGAGGTTAGCCCATTACTTCCATAATTAAACAAAGAGCGAAGTCGCTTAAAGCTTTCATCAGTTCTTCCCATCAATATGATACCGCTGCTTTCTCGGTCAAGACGGTGCACCTATCATAGAAAGCCACCAAGATGTTTATTAGATTTTCAACAAAATAAATGCTATTCTTATTGGCAATCATGGAAGGTAGACAAAATAATTCTAAGGCATGCATGTGCGCACTCAATGTTATATTTGAAAACAACCATGAAAAACTGATACTTCTAAATAATTACAAAACAAATCCATGTGCATACACACATAAATGCACCACACATCATGAGACACCCCTTGCCCCCACCCCCACCCTTCTCTCAAGGATGCACTTGCATAAGCGCATGAGCATAAACATGAATGAATGCAAGTACAAGCGAAGAATTTTGTTTAGAAGTACAATATAATTCTATCTTACACCTAAAGCAGATTGATGAGTTAATGAGCCAACTAATTCTCTTCACCTAGGGAATCAATTCAAATATGTCCAATACACCGCATGCGGATGTTGGGTCCAATAAAAAATAGACCCATATATGGAAAGAACCTACTGTTTATAACCAATTACCAGTGTATGATGAGATATCAGGGCACTTGCTACTCATTGCAGCTTTGCCCAGAACATTTGGACCTTTACTGTTGGGATGTTATATTTTATATTCATAGGCCATGACCAAGTTGAAGACACTGTAATACCACATCCCCAATTGGTCTTTCCTCATCAGATTAGGAGTTTATTGGGAGTTCAAGAAGAATGAAATAAAAGCAATTTCAAAAGAGCAAAAGTCAAAAACCTGATTAAAAAAAAGAAAAAAAAATATTCTACATGGTAACTAATAAAAAAAGTGGTTAACTAGTCAAATTATTTGAAAATTAAGTGTTAAATAGTCCCTTTCCCAGGCTCCAACGCAATTTAACTTGCCACATGAAACAGAATTGGATATCCAGGGAATTCTACAGTGATTCCACATCAAACGATGGTAAGAGGAGGTTTCATATGACATGTTTAATATCCAAAATAGAGACAAGGTTGCAGTACAGGAGTTTCAAAAAATTACCAATTTGGGACCCTCATCATAGCCAAATGATAAAGCTGCAGCTGCTAATGCATCCATGCTGTTATGAACTGGTAGATTACCCTGAGCAACATTTCAAGAATCATTCAATTCAATTTTTCACATTCTTAAGGTGTACTTGAAAAATGAAGATGTATCACCTTTTTACCTTAACAGGTAACTTTGGAGGCTTATTCAGCACAATAATAGCAGAATCCTGAAATTTCCGAATGAAAAAGGGAAACAAAAGAACAATTAGGGGAACATAGAAAAAATGCGCAAATAATGGCAAAAACAAAAGAAAGAAGCCACATGAAAATTTAAAACCCAAATCAAATTAAGGGCAATTAATTAACAGTAACAGACTTAAGAATTGAAACTAACTGAAATCAGGACAACATGCCTTGTACATTACAAGCCTCCTTAAGTAATCGATCTCATCTGCATTTGGATGCAAAGTTCCACTTGGTATGGTGTCATATCTCTTCGATATTTTAGACTCACAGATCGAAACAGGTACATAAATCTGTAAACCATTCTTCATAACCTCATTTGCACCAACCTGTAGTATTGCATTGTTCAGTGTTCAATAAACAGGCTAACCTATTCAAATAGCTAGTGTGCAGTACGATTCAAAAAATAAAGAGCAAATTACGAGCACCAATTCCCAACCCCTATAGCCTTTTCTTTTCTTTTTTTCTAAGTTACCCCCCTGTCCGACAATGAAAACACTAGACAGAGGGCTATTCTTTCCATTCCTAGTTCTTTGTTGTCCGGTGTTCGAAATACCGGATATCTACCTCTTTTCTTTGCTGGCAAAATACCCGGCCTCTCTCTCTCAACCCCCTCCCTCCTCTCTCCTACCTCGTCCTCTCTCTACCGTCCTCTCTCTTCTTCTTCTCTCTCTCTCTCTCTCTCTCTCTCTCTCTCTACCCACCTGGTTTCAGGTTTCACCCTGCTGATGAAGAACTCGGATTCGCCAAGTCCTAAAAAAGGGTGCCCACAAGGTGAAGGTTGATGTCTCAGATTCGTCACAGGACCGAATTGGACATTCTATCCCTCTTGTTAGGTGGCCTTTATATCAACTTCTCAAGACCTATCCTCATCGGGGTATTTGCGGCAGTGCAGAAGGGTATATTTGTGAGCTGTGCAGCAGGGAACTCTAGACCACAGGAGTACTGGGTCACAAACTCAGCACCATGGGTTCTTACCGTGGGCACCAGCGCATTGGATTGGGAACTACAGTCAGATACAAAGCTCGGCAATGGTGAAATAATTGCAGGCCAATCCATCTTCCAGCCAAAAGGATTTAGGCCAACACTACGCAGAGGCAACCTAAGCACGGCTGCGATCTCAGGCAAGGTGGTGGTGTGTGATGAGGTTGGCGGAGTAGGCGATGGGGAAAAGGGCTATGCCATCAAAAAAAGCTGGTGGTGCAGCCATGATACTTGTGAATATGGAAATTGATTGGTTTGCCATGGGGCTCGAATCTCATATTTTGCATGTATCTAATGTGGACTAATATGCAGGCACCAAGATAAAGGCCTACTTGAACTCGACCGGACACCCCGAGGCCGGGATTTTGTTCAAGGGATCAGAGTTCGGGTTTGCAGCCCCTACAGTCGCCATGTTCTTTTCATGAGTTCATCATCAATGGGATGAAACCTGAAACCCGGTGGGTAGAAAGAGAGAGAAAGATAGAGAGAGGTGGGTAGAGAGAGAGAGAGGACGAGTAGAGAGAGAGGGGAGAGAGAGAGAGAGAGAATGGGGGAAGAGAGAGGCCGGGTATCTTGCCGGCAAAGAAGAGAGGTAGTTGTCCGGTATTTCGAACACCGGACAACAAAGAACTAAGAATGGAAAGAATAGCCTCATATCCGGTGTTTTCATTGCCGGAGAGGGTGACAACTTAGGAAAAAAAAAGGCGGGAAGGGGTGCTCGTAATAATGGGCATATTGGACACCAAATGATAATACACCGCCCCCCCCCACCCCAATATGGTCCGTACATAATTTGCTCAAAAATAAAAAGCTATTGTGCATCAAAGAGATATGGGTCAGATTTATCGAAACAAATTACGACGTAAACCAATATTGTTACCTTCTTTAAAGGATGTATAAACATGCAATGGTGCTTTCCCTCAGAAGGATCGCCATCCTCCAAGCATTCTCTTAGAACCTAAACAAGACAAAGTTCAAGCTCGAACTCATAAGGGACATCTAGTTTTCATCAAAAAAACAAATAGCAACTTATTAGATTAAAACATAATAAATATTATAGGCCTTAAAATGGATGACAGGATTTAAAAAACAACACTGTTAAACCCAACATACTTAAAACAGAAAAGACGGAAATCATGATGGAAATGTGCAAACCAGCACTTGGATTTATTCCAACAACCATTTCATTACTACCCACAATTATGGTAGAGATTTTAAATTCCAAATTAAGATTTGGTCCACAAACAAAATGGATTTTAAGCCCCTCGGTGCACCAGACTCTCGACCAACAAATAGTCAAAATACAAAATTTATGCAAAAAATGGTCCAAGTTCCAGGGATTTCCCAATTAAAAGAGGAACGTTTCCGAAAACCCCAAAGAACTGGATGAACATGTGCCAATATGGACATATTTAAACCAAAATTAGCTGAAATCAGAGGAAATTGAAAATAGCTTTTCACAGAAATCGTTTGATAAAAGAAACAAGTTATGTTTTTGGTTGGTCTTTGTATTTCAGTTTCCAGCAGGGGGTACGGCCTATATTAAGCATTTTAGATTCCACTAACATTACTCCGATTTAAAAATCAAATAAGAAAAGGAGATAATCAAACAAATACTCTAAATATTTTTTAACTTATTGTACTAAGAAATTACTAAATTTAGGGCCCCTGACCTCTCTAAACCACACAATGGGGTTAAACTACAATATCAGAAATTAAAATAAATAAAATTAGGGCAACTGACCGCATCAAACCAAAACTCACAATACATTGTAAACTATGCTAAAAAAAGGTTGAACAATAAGATTATCAGATAAATAGCAAAAGCAGTAAATGATTAAGGAAAAAACTAACCTGACCCCTCTGAAAATGTCTGTAAATAACAAGACTATCAATTTCAGCAAAATAGTGCTTGAGCCAAATAATGGCAGTCACTCGGGCAGCTTCATTATTCTTTCCAGGTAGTGGGCAGCTGTACGAAAAAGGAGGCAAACTCAGGAGCTGCCTGCCCTTCAGTTCTTCATCTTTAGGTCCAAGGCTCGCTATATTGTTATCCACACGAATTACAGGGTTAGATAGCCTAGAGAAGCGCCTGATCGTGGTCTGGAGCAGCTGCCCTAACTTTGTAACCATGGGTACATGGCTTTCTTTTGGGGCTTTCTCATGGACCCTTATAAACCCAGGATATGTCAAACTTGGAATTGAGGAAATTTGAAGTTAGATGCAACTGACTGGATTCTATGCTATACCCCCCCTCTTTTCTCTCTCCTCTCTCTCTCTCTCTCTCTCTCTCTACTACTACTACTCTCTCTACTCGTACTACTACTCGTACTACGTACTACTACTCTACTACGTACTACGTACGTACTACGTACTACGTACCGTA